GCAGGCCACCGCCTCCCTGCTGAGCCACAGCGAGCCGTCGCCGGCCCGGCGCGGCTCTACTGCCGGCGGGCCCCAGACCGTCCCCCAGCCGCCTCGGAACCAACCCAGCAGCGGGCTGGGCTCCCCCGCCCTGCCCCAAATCACCGTCAGGGAACACCGGGGACGCAGCAGAGAAAGGCATTCCCGGGACCTGGGAGGTTCACCCGGTGGCTCCAGGGCCCCAGCAGCGGGAGGGCTGGCCTCCTTCAGCCAGCCTGCAGAGGAGCCAAACATCCTGGCTGGGCAAGGCACGCGCTGCGACTTGACTTTGTACCTCCTTACGACACAGGTGGGAAGGTGGGGCAGCCGATGCTTGAAAGAAAGGTCTTACCACGGAGAACCCCTTAGACACTCGGCCATTACGAGGAGGCAGAATGGAAGTACAACCTCCGTCTTTCCCCTTCTGCTGCGTTGAGGTCAGTTTCCCACTCTACAGCTGCGACCACTGTGGTCTGTAAGACTTGGACTGACTCATGCTCAGGGAATAGATCTCTTGCGATGTTTGTAATCTGAATAGTTTATAAGTGTTCAAACAGTCATTTGGTAACGACAGAGGCCCAAAAAACTACCACTACCATACACTGTGTTGGCTTCTCAGGTAGCCAGTTTTTCACAGTATTGAAGCTGTCTTGCATAGAAACTTTAATTGCTTCACATCAGCACAAACCCTTTGAATAAATGGGCATTTGCTCACCTCAAGGTGCTGGAATCTTGCTCAGGGTCTGTAAATATTTTCTGTCATACTACTTTACTTTTGACTATATAGAAGGGATGACATAAGCTCTTAAACACACGCATTTTCTCCCTTTTTGCAGGGGGTCTGCTCTTTCAAATAATGTAAGGAGATTCCAGTTTTTTGTGCTTCCAGCAGCAAATAGTTCTCCAACAAATCTGTTCATCAAACCCACTCACTCGGTTTATTTTTCCAAGGGAAAAAGGGACAAACAAATAAGGAAATGAAAAATGTTAAAATACTTAAATATTATTACATTTATAGTCAGAACAAATATGTAAATCAACTGCATTGAATTTTCTATTAGCTTTTAAATATTCACCTCAATATACATTTGTTCTTTAGGACACACAAGAGATAAATAATTGAGTTAACATTGCTAGATAAATCAACTCTTTTTCCTGAGCTGCAAATATTCCAGATTATAACCTTGAAGTTGCTATCCAACAACTACAAATGGAAACTAAACAGATTAAAGTGAGCAAGCAGGAACCCACGCTTGAGTACCCAGAGGCCCAGTTTACTGAAACATATAGTAGCACCCCCATCATTTCAGATCAGTAAGTCAAGACTGAATGGCTCTTAAATGTAAAACCCAGCCTGGCTACAAGGTGCAGGAGAAGCTCGGTATTTTGGCTTGTGCTATGAACAACATGAGAGCACATGATTTAAAACAACCAACCCACCTACCCCTCACCCCCACCCTCCCAAAACCAAGCCCCACAATAATTTTGGATATATGTGGTTTTAAACATCTAAATAGATTGTGGTGACTCCTCCAGCCACAGACAGTGGGGTACCTAGTTCTATTTTGGCTTCAGGGTCTTTCCTCTTAGCACTGAGTACAAGAGTGGAGTTCATAATGCACAGTAGTACTTATTTCATAACAATGAACCAACCTCTCTTCTTTGGGAGATCAACTACAATAGTCCAAACTACTTGCATACAACCCCCATTAGTGCCTGTGTGGGTGGGAGTGGACAGAAGGAATGAACAGCTTCAGTGCTTAAATCCTGTTGGAAAACCAGATTTTTATGAGCTGCAGACTTTGACAGCACCAGGACAACAGGTAAAGTCAGACAGGTAGCAAAGAAAATTGTTTTATGGCTAGAAGCATCAAATGCTAGCCACTTGCATATATGTGAACATATGCTTTCCATGCTTCTTCCTTCCAGGCCAGGCAAACTCCTGATAAAAAGGATAGGTAAAAATAGGGGTAACAAGAATCAGCTACACGGAGCTCTTCTGCAGTGTTGTGGAGAACTTTTATTTTACCAGAACAGCTGTTGGATTTCTGCCTTTGCATGTTGTGTTGGTGACAGAATTGATCAGGTATGCTGCAGTATGGATCAGCACCATTTTTCTTGTTTTTTTAAAACCTAGCAGAATAGCAGAGTCTATTTACAAGTTCCTCCGTCAACTTCCCAAAGGAAACAGCAATGTGGGAACTAAGTTCACTCCCAGGATAGGCACTCTGTTCCAGCTATCAGAAAGTTGGAATGTGACTATCTCAGATATGAGTATATAATGTTTCAGCGCACAAGCACTTTGATCAAAAGCATAAGCCATTATCTGTAGTAAAAACTACTTTCTACAGCAGCCAGCTAGACATACACAAAATGCATCCAGTCAGATTATAAGACCAGTTACTCTCGTGTGGGTGAGACCAATGTACTATCCCAACTGCCCTTCAGGTTTACAAACTCTCCTCATTTACCTCTATCCACCTTTTTTTTAGATAGCTGCCACTGGCTTCTGGCACTGCATCAGGAGTGTTAGCAGTTTATTGTTGAGACCACAAGGAGCTAAAGTGTTTGCTCTAATGCTACAACCTTGACAGGGACATAGCTGCAACCACGCTGGGTTGCCTTGGTGGAAGTTTTTGACTCTGAACTTTGAGCTTCTCATCTGGAAGACCAAAGTTTGACAGTCTCCACTGCAATGAAGAATGGTCCGGGCCTGTTTTGTTTGCTCTTGCCCACTACTTGCAAATTTTACATGCATCAAGTCAAGCTGCAGCAGGATTGCTAATAATTTTGGTTTTTTCTATTTTGCTCAGTGAATTAACGGAGTTTCATTAAGCCTGGTTAAGTAATCTGCTTGATTGGAGGGAATACCCCCTTCTCCAAGTGTAACACTAGAAATGTATGATGCAGCTGGAGGCCTCTGAAACTACTTCCAGATATTCAGAACCTACAGAGAAATTCTTCAGATAGCCACTGTACCGCGCATGTTCTGAATGTACACAGTCCAGAGCATGCACCTTCCCATAGCACAACATATGTAGTCTCTAAGGGCAGAGCATAAAAGCCAGTGGAGAACAATCGAGGCTCATCTTCCAGCCACTCCAGCAATTTCTGAAGTCATTATAAATTCACTTGGCAGAGGAGTGTCACGAACACTTCATGCATGCAGAGAGATGTATTTTAAATAAGCACTCAAAAGATCAGAAAAAGGCAAGTTTCCCTGTAGGGCTGGTATTTCAGGAGTGCCTGGTACCATGCCACCTGCTGCTATTAGAGCAAGCCACTGACATCAGCACGCTCTCCTGGAAAAGAAAAGACCCTTTAAAGAACAAGTTGCTACACATTTAAAGTAGCAGAAAGCACACATCATCATGGGGTAAGGGTACTCCAAGAAGGAGACTACAGTGAAACAAAGAAAGATGGATGGAAATCAGTGCTTTGGTCCCCATCCAAAGGACAAGGACAGTGACTGGCCACAACAACCCCTTTTCTAACAAGTGCACGCACAGCAGCTGTGGTGCAGACAAGGGTACACAGCTTGAATTTTCCTTGCATACAAAAAAAGGGTACACCTTCATTCAAACCCACAAGAGCTTTTCAGTCTCTGTAAAAGACGCTATTTTAAATACAAGTAGTCATTTTTAAAAAAAGGTAGTCACCATGGCCTGTGAAGAGACCTCATGTGCATAGAACAAATTACAGAAAGGACTCAAACATTGTTGAGTGGCAGGACAGTAGTATTCAATCAGGACATCTTCTAGAACTACAACTAGCCTAGGACTTGTAGTCAGTATCTTGATACATTTTCCAGAAGAACTTGAGGATAAACAAAGTGCAACACTGCCCAGAAAGGGCATTCAGCTCTCACCAGAAAGTGGTGACAAGTATCCTGCTTACCTTGGATGGTTGAATTCAGGAAAGACTTGAACTTAAGATGATGACAATGCTTGAACAACTGGTTACCTGGCCCTCCTGATCTTTGCACAGCACTGGCAACTATTTTGGGCAACTGCATAGCTCTCTCCATCCAGAAGCATCAGCAAACTAAAAATAATGCTTGCTCAAGGACAAAAGTAACAGAGAGCATGTGTTCCAAGATACACTCTCTTAGGTACAGTTCTAGAAACAGCCATGTTTAAAATGACATTCATAAAACTTAATTTTTTGTTTTGTTTTGCTTTTTAATGGCTAAGCGACCTGCCTCCCTTCATACTGGGGGCAGCACATAAAAGGACAGCAACAAGCACTTCGGGAACTTGCTTATACGTGCAGGCCAGGAACAGTGTTTCCAGAAATAATAGAGCTGAAAAATGTGAAATGAGACCCTGAGATGCAGGTGAACATGGGAAAACACCCCAAAATCCAGAACACATCTGGAAGCGAAAACTGAGGAATGAAGATTGAAGGGATTACAGACTAGAGCTCAGCAGGACCTGGGCTGCTCTTGCTATTAATATAACCAGCTCAT